CTCTCTCTCTTCGTTATGACCTTCTAAGAATGAATGCAGAACATGAATCTGAAGATTTATACAAAAAAATATGATGAATACACAGAAGAACATGAATTTGAAAGATTATATAAAATAAATCTGTTCTTGAGCAAAGAACATGAACCAAGAACCACAACACACCCGATTTCAGAATTTACAAAAAAATACACCTTAAACAACCACAAACATGAAATCAAGAACCACAAAGAACATGAAAGATCTACCCCTTTTCGTCTCTCTACCTAAGTCAAACTTTATTTCCCTCGTCTCTCTTAATTCACACAAACACATTCGATTTCAGTTTTGATTCAAATTAGGTTTTCGATTTAGATTTTCCCTTTGCCACCACCGGAGAAGACTGCCTGTAAAGGTGGTCACAATCAACCATGAGTCTTGGATGCTTGTGTCTCGTGCGTGTCCCAACAAGAAGAAGAAATTGATGCCCTTTTCTACAACTTATTCTTAACACCAGGTTTGCTCCTCCTTTTCTAATTGATCACAATTCTTCCCTCTTCTCGAATTTGATGTTGCTGATCTATCATTTCTGGAACTGAAGCTTTATCAAGAAGACAATGTGTGTATGTGTGTGTTGTGTTCTTGGGTCACATAATCCTTTGTTCCTTTTCCACTAAGATTACCAATCCCGTTTGATCTGTTACTGATTTGACAAGGGAATTAAAGAAAAATATAGAATTTAACCTTATTGCCCCATCGATGGTGAGGGGATGATCACAGTGACGAAGATAGACAACGTTGGAAGAAAAACTTAACCACTGTCTTCTGCCTCCATTACAATCTTCTGGTAATCCACGACAAGGAAGTCTCTCACGATGTTCCCATTCCGCCGCTGACCTAAAAAAGAAAGAAACCAATGACATATGCAAGCATTTCGAGGACTGGTGAGGGATAACACTTGGGCAACACCCTTCTATTAGTTCGTCGATTGTGAGAACGTGGGGGAAAAGATGGGTTAGGAAAACGAGAGGGTGGTGGGTGTTATTTATTTCCATGTTTTTGGATATGAAGGAAAAGATGAAGTTCAACCACTAGAGATTGATTGAGTGTCCAAATTGTATGTGTTCTGAGCGAGAGAGAGAGAGCGAGAGAGAGAGAGAGAGAAGAGAGAGAGAGAGAGAGGCGAGGAGAGAGAGAGAGAGCGAGAGAGAGAGAGATTTATTTTTTATTTTTAATTATTTAATACCCCAAAATCTAAAGAAAATAGAAAAAAAGAAATGAAAATGATAAAATTGACTTTTCAAGTATATCAGGGACCCAAAACCCAGAAAAATCTTGATTTTGGACCTTCCAGGCAAGTTGAAAACTTTTTAGACAATATCCAAAGTTTTTTGAATACAAAGGACCATGTTGCAGTTTTGTCTTTAAAATTTAAACTCGAGTATCATGTTTTTTACATTATAAACATTTAAGTTACTTTTTATGTTTTTCTCAAAATCTATTGGAGTCATTAAAAGATAAACAGTAAAGTAGAGGAACAAGTTTCAGTTATTGGTTCTTTCAACTAACACTGCATCAAAAAACGGAAAGGGGAGCACGGCAGTTAAAGTAGGAAAAGGTCACCGAATAACGGACCTTCTTCGCACGCCACCCTCTTTCCCACGTGCTCACTGTACTGCGATTCGATATGGTCGTCCACGTGTCTACTCTTTACCCAACCTCCTCCAGGTGTTCCCCTTCCTCCTCTTTCCTTTTCTATCTCAACACCTTCAACAATTCAACACCAAATTCCTACACGTTTCTCCCTTTTCAGCTTTCAATCACCCACCGGATTAACATCTCTCATTGGAAAACCAAACCATGGAGACGGAAGTCCATACCAATTACTCCTACATGGGACGGAAATTCAGTAACATCAGCCTTTCAAACGACGATTCCGCCGCTTTCAGCGATTGTAACAGTGACCGATCAGGTGAGTTCCCGACCACGTCGGCGACCAGGCGTCTTCTCCTCGCTTGTGCTACTGAATCGTCGGATGATCTAATTCAACAGCTGGTCTCCGATCTAGATTCGGATTCGATTGAAGATCAGAAGCAAGCAGCGATGGAGCTCCGGTTGCTCGCGAAGAATAAACCGGAAAACCGAGTTAAGATAGCGAGAGCCGGGCAATCAGGCCGTTGATTTCGTTAATCTCGTCTGCTGATCCTGAACTCCAAGAGCACGGTGTTACAGCGATTTTGAATTTGTCGCTGTGCGATGAGAACAAAGAGGTTCTAGCGGCGTCCGGAGCAATCAGGCCGTTAGTTAGAGCGTTGAAGGTTGGGAACACCGACGGGGAAGGAAAACGCGGCGTGGCGCTCTTCTACGGTTATCTCAATTAGAAGAAAACAAAGCGGCAATCGGTCGATCAGGAGCGATTCCTTTGCTAGTTGACCTACTGGAAACCGGAAACTTCCGAGGGCAGAAGGACGCATCAACGGCGTTGTATTCGTTGTGTTCGTTGAAAGAAAACAAAGTTCGAGCTGTTCAGGCCGGGATCATGAAGCCGTTGGTTGAATTAATGGCGGATTTCGAGTCAAACATGGTCGATAAAGCCGCATTTGTGATGAGCGTTTTGACACCATTGAAGGAGGCTAGGGCGGCGTTGGTGGAGAAGGAGGTATTTCCGGTGCTGGTGGAGATCATAGAGATCGGATCTCAGCGGCAGAAGGAGATAGCGGTGGTGATTCTGTTGCAGATTTGTGATGATAGTGTGGTCTACCGTACTATGGTGGCCCGCGAAGGAGCCATTCCTCCCTCGTCGCCTTGTCACAATCTGGTACAAAGCGCGCTAAACAAAAGGTAAAAATTACCACTATAATTTACTTCAAAAATAATTTATGATTTATCTTTTTTTGTCACTTTTCCGAAATTAATTACATGTCACTTTTGAAAACGAGAGGCTTCCATATCGTTGACTTCTGAAGTGTTCTTAAGTATTGACTACAGTTTTTTTTTAATACTCATCCATGGAATCACTTGTGACCAATTCTAGATGTTTACAGTCAATGCGTCATCTAAAATTGAACGTTTCAATTAAAGTTTTTTATTGGAGAATGACCTCATGAAGAATTTGTATTCTAAGATTAGAAAAAGTAAAACCTAACGCATATTAAGTCGAATCAGAAGTATGTCTTTTAATAATGTTTACTTTAATTATATTATTAATGGAAGATACGAAATATCTTTATCTCTGTGACATATGAAACCTAATTCGAATCTGAGAAAGTGATGTAGGTTGTTATGTGAGTTTATTGGATGTTTATTAGAATAATGGAATAATTAAATGGAAAAGATTATTTATTGTTTAATAATGGTGATTCTTAAGTTGAATATTTTGGATGATTGACAGGCGGAAACACTTATTGAGCTTCTTCGGCGACCAGATCCGGCAACGCTGCTGCCAGCTCGGATTAATCAGAATGAGATGTTCCACGTCAGCAAAAGGACAAAAACATTAAGACAAACATGTTTTCCAAAATTATATTTTAGAAAAAGAAGGAAAGGAAGGAAGTTTTTTTTTTGGTCGGATTTGTAAATATTTAATGTTTGCCGCTACCCTTGTAAATTGGTGAACGAAATACCTGTATCTCTCTGGCTTTTTCTCTTAATTTTGAATGGAATGCAACGTGTGTTCAACAAAAAGGGGAGAATGGAAAATGACTTAGAACGACAACTTTTTTATACAAAAAATATGATTAATATATTTTTTGTATATCTGTTTAAAAATATAGATGTTTGATCTTCATTTGGTATTTTTTTTTTTTTGCTAAAGTTAGAGAGAACAAAATAAATTTGCTTTTTGTACAAAAATATACCAGCACATTAATGACTTTGTCTTAATTTGGTTAGGAGTGATAAAGTCTTTTGTTGAAAATATATATATATATATTATATATATATATATATATATATATATATTATATATAACATTCTGTTTCAAGAACTTTCTTATTTCGGGATTGTGGACCGTAATTCGATCATGTGAAGACTTTGGGCTTCAAGGAAATAAGGTTTAGATCTTGTTGGATGTTGATAATATTGATTATATGATCTAAGCCATTGATTTGTGTTTTGGAGCCAAGGGTATAAAATGAAAAAATGATGCTTCAGACTTCTTGCATAAATTAATGATTTTATTTGGTATGTTTTAAGTCAAAAGTAATTATATAGAGTTGTGGGGATCGTTAATACCTTTCTGTGTATATAAAGGTCGCCGAAAACGGAGTTGAAACGAAAAAGTTATGACTCTTTGAAGCTGAAATGAATTTGGGTGAAAAATCGTCGTCATGGAGCAGAGAGCAGATCTCCACTGAGTTGCAGTCACCAAGGAGTGGTGAGCAAGTTGCCACGGCGTGGTAGTTGCCAGTGAGTGGAGAAATGTTGCTACGGAGTGACAGTCTGTCAGACCCAAACCCATGATTTTTGGGGTTTCAACGTATTTAAGCATAAGATTCCGACTTTTTGGCCATTTTATGAGTCTCCATCATATCCAGACCCCTTGTGAGAAACCCTAACCCCTATATCAAGATTTGAGCTCTCTATCTCTCCTCTTTTGGAGGCTTTTGCTTATGTTTTGATGTAACATGAAGATCACTGGAAACATCCCAAAAATACAGTCTAAAAATTTCGTTTTAAATCATTAATAAACCCATAATTATCATTCAACATGTAAAAATCATAAATCGTGTATCTCAAGAATATCATAACATCTGTCAAATATATCAGAGTATAAAAATCCCAGGCTGAACAAATGGTGTGTGCACTGCAATCATCCCGAGCTCCTCTTTTGAAAACCGAAGTACCTGAAACCAAAATTGAAAACCGTAAGCACGAAGCTTAGTGAGTCTCCCCAACTATCACATACCATACACATAATCATGCAACTAGGAGATACAGGCCCTGCCTACTCTCGTGGAGATTGGGCCCCGCCCACACTCCGCTGTCTAGGAGAGTCGGGCCCCGCCCACACTCCGCTGTCTAAGAGATTCTGTCACACCCCCAAACCGGAACGGCGGAAACGTTCGGGGGCGGAGGACGGAGACGTCATGTTTAGTATCACACACATGCATCATAGTAATCAAGTAACAAACAACCATTGCATTAATATTAAAGTGTTTAAAAGTATGTGATTCATAAAAGGTTAACTTCAAGTAAATAACAAAAACAAGACATTAAGCTACTATGCTCCATCTTCTGAACCCATGAGCCTCTGTACTAGCTCTCTGTCTATTTCCCTGAAAATACAAGTTATTTTAAACAGCGTAGATCAACATTTAAGTTGGTGAGTTCATAAGTATTTTAGTGATGTAAAGTAAACTGTAAGTTCTTTTTTAGAAAAGTTTGTCTGTTCCTCCAGAAAATCCTATATCTTCTGATATGATGAATGAAAGTAAAAATGACTCTACAATTCCTTCTATGAGTACTAAATGGATACAAGTTATATACAATCCAGATCAAACAGACATCGATTGTGTGAATCTGCCCTAAGCCCACAACCAAACAAGGAACCAAATGAGGCGGAAGTCACACATCCCATTGTTATTAGATCTTCTTAACCCTGGCGTATTCATTTGGTACTTACGGAGTTAACTGTAATAGTTCCTTATATTTGATGAAAACATCCTTTAAGAAATCATATTTTCCTTTAGTAAAAATGGTAACCACAATAGTTCCTTCTATAATCACTTAGTTTATACTGGCTATATATAATCTAATATCAAACGGACAGTTAATTGTATGAATCTGCCCTAAGCCCACAACCAAACAAAGAACAGGAAGTAAGCAGAAAGAAAGCACACATCCAACTGCCTATCGGATATTAATTATATAGAAACCCTGATGTATAAACTAAGGTATTATAGAATTAACCACTAAAGGTCCTTTAAGTTATACTGGTTTAATAAAATGAATTAAACCTTTTACTGATAAGTTTCTAGTTTAGTTTTCCCATTGTTCTATCTGAAAAGTATGTTTTTGTACTAGAAAGCGGTATATTGAATTTGTATGCTATGACCTGACCCATACCTGATACTCCTTATGATTATGGGCATACGGGATATATTATATATATATATATATATATATATATATATATATTATATATATATATATATATATATATATATATAACTAAGATCGATAGATAGTAGTGTGGGTAATTCTTCTCTAAGTCCCACAACCAAACAAGGAACATGAAATGAAGCAGAAAGTACACATCCTACTGTCTGTCGGATCCTATTAATATATATCCCTAATGTATCCACTAAGGAATCATAAAGTTAGCATTATAGGCCCCCTTCTAACTGAATGTTCATGTTACGAGTAAGTTATGTGGCGTTGTTCTATTGTTAGGACGACTACTAGAAGTAATGAAATCCTGCACTCTTAACGCCTCAGTCGATACTGTTGTGAGTTTTGTATATATTAACATGTTTTATTTATTATGGTCCGGTACTTTGTAGATGTACCCTTTTTAAATAAAATCGGCTTTTAGATGTACCCCATATATAACTTCGGTATTTGTAGATGTACCCCATATATTAAATCCTGGCACTTTGTAGATGCACCATATATATATATTAATATATATATTAATCTAATAATATATATATAAAACCTTATACCATGTTTATTATCATTTTTGATTAGAACAATGAGTTAATGATATGTTTCCTTCCTAGGTACTGGAATGTAAAGTATAAGTTCGTGAATCATGATTTGTTCCTTGTTCTTTTTATCGTATGTTCCTTCCTGTTCTTGTTATTGTATGTTTGATCCCTAAATTTTACCTGATTATAGTTTACTAGTATGCTTGTTTGAACTGTTTACTGACTTGAAGAAAAAGACTCAATTATCTACCGAGTTAACATGTACCTTAAAACGGGTTTTATAAACAATAAACTAACATCTTTTTAAAAGAGTTGTTGAATAGATTTGATCTCTTACAAAAGCATAAGAAATCCTTTAATGTATGGTTATCACAGGTAAATATTTACACAATATCATTGTGTTCAACTTGTACCCCCCCCCCCCTTAAAAGCATTTAAAAACATTTAAAAGATTGATTATAGGGGTATGAACTCACCTTATGTGGGTGATTCAATTGAAGATTCGCGTAAGGATGAGAAGTTCCACGAATG